ATTACGAGGACCAGCTGCCTATGTGTCTTGTCCCAAAATGTCTTCCCTCCCTAAAAAAGAAAGCCAGAATGTCAGAGATGACCCAGCCAGATTTGGAAACCACCATGCTATAAGCAGCGATGGGACAGAAATTGGGGTCATCCAAAGACAGCTGCCACCATGGCCCAAATTCACAAACAGTCCATTGGAAAAGTGGGGTGGTGGCATTACCTGTGAAGTCCTACAGCTGGGGATATGCCCTTTGTGGGCATACTGGGAGGTAGCACTTAATGCTGGGGGTAAATTCTCCAGTGAAGAGTGGAGACATTGTGCACTGTTGTACTGTGCTCTTCAGTGGGAGACTGCTCTATAGCCAGTAATGTTTCAGCCCTGGGTAATGTAAGCTTTGATTTCCATCTTGCAGCGAGCACCTCTGAACAGAGGTGGCTAAGCTGGGGGACCAGGAAGGACAGGGAAGCTTCTCAAAGTCTCCACCAGTGACATTTGTTGTTTCTATGCTAGAGGTTTAATTGAGATCCCCGTTAAGTCTTTCTCGAACAGCTTCCTGCTTAAGTGGTGTGTTATGGTAGTGCTTACACTGTAAATAGTAATAATCATGATAATAATCAAGAGGGCTGTTTAGCAAGGTTGTGCTATGGTTGTGCTTGTTTTTCTTAAAGTGCATGTGGCTTTTTTTTTTGGGGGGGGGGGCGGTTGAACAGGACAGCAAGTTCTTTAGCAGTGGGCTGTAGAAGTAACAAGCATGGATCATTACCAGCAGCAGTCAGTAGATACTTTTCCTACCTTTCTGCCAGAAAACAAGAAAAGGAAAACAGAAATTCCAGCCATTTGGAAAAAGCTTCCTGCTCTGCTCTGTAACGTCAGCAGGCAGGGAGGCAGTGTTCCCACATGCCCCGCACCCACGTGTGAACACACACCCCTAGCCTGCGGGGACCTCACACGTCTCCAACACATCTGAAGCGTGGAAGCATGCGGGCTGGGTTTTGGCCCAGGTGCAGGAAGGTGCCTGGCTGCTCTGGGTGGTACCTGTTGAGGACAGCAGACAGACAGAAGCAGTTTGCTGCTTTCCAGAGCTGTGCCTGGTATTTTGCTGTGCCACATCTCTTCTGTAGGGGCAGGGTGAATGGGTTGGAAATGGATCCTGCTAGAGAGCTCCCTCTGGCCAGTCCAGAGTGGGGAGAGGGCACTATGCCCTCAGCCTGGGGCAGAGGACAGTCCATGCTCTGCTGTAAGTATTTTCTGTCTCTCAGGGCTCATGGGAGCCTGCATGGATTTGGACATCAAAACCACAGTCCTTCTGGCCTAACCTATGTCAGGAGAATATGCAGAAGCTCACCCCTTTTTCCCTGAGTCCTCTATCAGCACTGCAGCATCAGATCAGACACAAAGCAATGGGTTGGCTCTGAGTTGAGCTTAGTCTCCTGCATTGGCTGTAGGATCAACATCCCCTTGAGTTGGCCGCAGCCCAAGTCTCATCTCCAGAGTAACCAAGCATCCTTGTCTTGGCCAGCAATGTCATTCTTGTGTGTGCCCAGCAAGTCTAGGACCTTTGCTGAGAAGTAAGTCACCTCCTCCTGAGAAGGGATGGAGGTGTGAAAGCCACCTCCTGCTTCCCATTGCCCCCAGGCAGGGAACATGGTGAGTAGGGCCTTCCTGCCCATGGCTTGTGCCCATAGCTGAAATAGGGACATGTAGCATGCTCTGCCTCTGTAAACAGCTGCCTGCCTGCCTGAAACCTAGTCGCTGGGTTGGCAAGGTGGGTGGGAGCAGGCAGGAAGGGGCTGTGCAGCAGGCCGGATGCTGACAGCAAGGGAGGGGGAACTCCGGCCTCCTCCCTCAGTCTCAGACAGGCACAATCAAGGCTCCTTTGGGGAAACTGGGAGTTGCTGCTGCTGGCATCTCCTCGGGAGCAGAGGTGCAGCGGTGCCAATGCTGCCTGCCATGAGCCAGCCCAGAGCGGCAGATGGAGGTTAATGAATGAGCTGGGGGGTGAGCATGGGTGTAGGGGCTCTGTAGATGCTGATGAGTGTGTCTGGTCCTGGCTGCTGGTTGATGTGGATGAATCCAGCCAGGGGGCAAAGGAGGGAACTGCAGGGTGCAGCCTGCCCTGGCTCTGCCTTGCCCTCTCCAGTTGGCACCAGGAAGGTCCCTCACAAGCTACCCAGAGCTTGTCAGGAGTTTCTGTGTCGGAGACCTCTGCCCTTCAGTTTGTCAAAATTGGCTTGTGAGTATCAAATTAGGGAATAGTCAGGTGCGTGAGCAGGGACTGTTGCTGAAGGAAATTAGGCTATAAAAATCATCAGAGAGTGGATGAAAGGGATCCCTCAGAGGCATCCGTGGGGTTCTCACTGGAAAATGAAGACCTGAACTAGACACTACTGCTGAGGGGCAGACAGAGAAGTCCCACCACATCCCTTGCTGTACTGCTGCTTGACAGGGAACTTGTGGGTGCCAGGGAGGGTGAAGGGGGTCACTTCCAGGTGCCTTTTTTGTCCCACAGGAAGCACTGGACTGGTCTGGGAGCTGGGCAGCTTTCTGTGCATGCCAGCCCTCAGCTCCCTCTGCAGAGCACTGGGCTCCTGTGGCTCCTTCCCACCTCTCCTTGCCAAAAGGACTCAACATTAGTCCCCAGCTTGCTCTAGGGCATCTTGCAGGAAGCAGGGAAATAAGGTGTTCGCAGAGGCTGAAGCTGCTGACCATACGAGCAGGCTGAGCTGCTGCAAACACCCATTGCACCACAAGTCCTGGAGACTGGACTCCCCGTGCTATTTTTCTGACTGATCCTCGCTGCCTTGTTTGTTATTTTAGGTTTGCCTAGGTAGCTGTGCCTCTCGTGTTTGTTATTGCAGGGGTAATGAGCTGTGTCCCTGTTGTGTGATTGCAGGGTTGCCTGCACCGGTGTGAATCCTGCCCTTAATGACGGTCAGGCAGGCCAGGGAGATGCCCTGGCTCTGCCTTCTGTGGCTCTGGCAGTGTGTGCCAGAGGGGATTCCCGGGACAGATCACAGTGTGCTTCATTGCTGTGGAAGGGCTTAGTCACTGCGGCTGTCTCCAGTCTCTTTTCGGACCTTGGATGCCACAACATCTTTGTGGCAAAGCATGCACTTCTACTGCACCTTGTACAGTGACATTTCCTGTAGAACAAGATCATGCCCAATTTAATCAATCTCTTCCCTATCCCTTGTCTGTCATCCCCTTATAATAGAGGAGCCCTAACCTTTGGGGCTTCTGAGTCCTGCAGCAAGAAAGAAACCCCAGGCATATGTGCATCATAGGGCAAAATGCAAGAGGACCCTGTCCTGGGGAGACGTGTCAGTCCTGGAGATGGTGAATGGGGTCATTTATGTGCTGTGGGCAGTTAGGAGGGTGCTGAGTCTGAGATGCTGTTCCAGTGCTGTTCTTTTGGAAAGAGAAAACAAAGAAAAGTGCTGCTTTAATAAATACGTGGCCGTGGAAAACTTCCCAGTTCTGCTGGGAGAGGGCAGTTCACCTTGGCAAGGAGGAAGAAGAGACTGGTAGCCGTGGCAGGCTTGGGGACCCAGTGACCAGCTTGTCCCCTGGGCCACCTCCAAGACCCCGCTGCGATGTGTGTGACGGGCCAGTGCTGCCATCTGCCGCTGAGCAGCGCTTCTGTCCCTGTGTATGCCCGTCTATTCCCCCCTCACCGGGCATCTCCAGGGCAGCCGTGTGGGGCAGAGGCATCTGCCTTCCCCCTGGGCTTCCTCTGGGCCCCAGGGAGCACCCGGTGTGCAGGGAGACTCCTGTTTACCTTGTTGGGGAGGGGGATTATCTGTTTTTATTGTAATCCTGAGCCTTTTTCTTTTGTCCCAATAGTGATGTTGCAAGGAGGGGCAAAATTAGTGCCCTGCTGTCTTCACCATAGGGTTGCAAGAGGGAATGAGCTGGGTTCACGAGCATTGAAGTCATGAGACACTTTGCAGGGAGGGATTTCAGTGACTCTCTGCTTTTCCTTCTGCTGCTGTGGCTTTCCCTGTGCTCACCCGCCAGCCCCAGCACAAGCCTGGTGTCAGTGCAGGGCTGCTGGGAACCAGGGGCTGGGAGACCAGGAGCCTCAGGAGCTTTAAAGTCTCTTCCAATTTAGTCCAGAAATAACCCTTTTTCACTCGAGTGGCTGTACTAAATGTCACAAGTCATCTAAGTTTAGACTGTCACCAGCTCGCTCCTATATATAACCGCGCAGTGCCCCTGCCTGCGTCCCGCCGGCACAGGTCACACTGGGGCGATCTGGAGGATCTATAGGAAGGCAACTGCCATGGACAGAGCCTAAACGTGCTGTCAATACCATTGGTGGCAGCTGCAGTCAGGCAGCGTTGCTCACCCTGGGCTTTGCAGGCTATTTGGTGCGTGCCAGCAGACAGGCTGGTTCTGTCCCGTCAGCATGAGGCTGCAAGTGGAATTCCCAGGAGATCCCAGCACTTGTCAGCCACATCTTTGGCATCGCTGCTGAAGTGTCTGCCTAACCACACGGTGGCTTTCCTATGTGATTGACCTTGACTTTGGAGTTGTCGCATCTTGGAGCATCCTGGCTTTTGCTCATCCATCTCAAGGCAGGGTGGGGTGTGAATTTGTCACTTAATCTTCTCACTATGGCTAAAGAGGGGCTTCTCTGCCACATTTTCTGTCTCATCTGGTCCTTTCTGGGTGTGAGATAACCCTTCCACCAGTCTTTTTCCACTGACACACTGCAAATGATGGTGGCCTTATACGTAGGAGCCTATCCTAGACTCCCAACTCCTCCATGCCCTCAGATACCTTCCTATCCTGAGCTCGAGAGTCAAACAAAAACCATGCCAAGTCCCACACAGTGGGATAAAGCCAGGGCTGCAGGCAGCAGCTGGGAGAGAGATTTCTTCGGTCGCTTGTTCCCATCCTGGCTGGTGGAAAGATGTCCTCTGGGGTTGGGCAAGAGGCTGTCCGTGCAAAAGCAAGCCCCAGTCAGCTCATGGAGACCTGATGGTTTGGTACGCTTTCTGTTCCAGAACGGGAGTCCCGAGAGCATGAGGAGCCAACCACGTCCGAGATGACAGAGGAGACCTACCCACCCAAGGCCTACCGGCCCAAGCACGGGCGCCTCTCTGAGCTCAAGGCTGAGGCTCTGAAGAAGGACCGCCGGAAGAAGCTGACCCTGGCCAAGTTTGTGGGCATGGCTGAGAACACGGCGCATCCCCGCGTTGTCATCCCTGAGCTCCGGCAGGAGTTTGAGCTGGTGGGTGCCTTCACCTTCTCTCCATGGGGCTCCTGTGGGCAGGGGCTGTGGGAGGGCTTTGTCCCCATGGGGAGCAGGAGCCAGTGGTGGGGACAGGGGACTTGGGGGCATTGGCAGCTGGAGGCTTGCTGCAAGGTGCTCCCCTTCTCACACTCCATCTTCTCGCTGCTGGCAGGGCCCCTGCCGCAGGCACATGGAGGCGTCCCTGCAGGAGCTGAAGAGCAGCCAGCGGATGGTCCCCCGTGCCGTCCACCTCCCCAACTGCGACCGAAAGGGCTTCTACAAGAGGAAGCAGGTAAGAGCCCCATGGAGAGACACTCTCCACTCAGGGAGGCTTTTCTCTGCTGCTGCCCTGGATGGAAAGGATGGAGGTTTTCCTCTGCTGGGCTGGCGGGGAGGCACATTCAGTGATGGGTGGCCTTGCTGATGGCTCCACATGCTATTTGGCCTGAAGCAAGCATCCTGAAGGAGCTTTTTAGAGAGGAGAAAAAGCCAGAGAGCCCTAGGCTCAGGTAGCAGCAGGGATGGAGATGTGCTGAAAGCAGAGAGCGGGAGCTAGGTCCTACCTAGGGATTGCATTGCTGGGGTGAAAGGGGCAAAGCACAGTGATCCTGGTCACCAGTGCAAGGGAACCACACCGTGTCTGGTGGCCAGCTCGTGATCTCTGCCTTTGGTTGTCTCCACAGTGCAAGCCCTCCCGAGGCCGGAAGCGTGGGTTGTGTTGGTGTGTGGACAAATACGGCATGAAGCTGCCAGGGACTGACTACCTGAGCGGAGACCTGCAGTGCCACGCGTTCGACAGCAGCAACGTGGAGTGAAGTCACATCCCCTCCCTCCGCCCCATCACTACCTACCCAGGCTCCCTTCCACCCTCCCCTCCACACCTCCCTGCGCCCCGGGACTCCGATTCCTTTCATCTCATGTAAGAAGAAAAAAAGAAAGGAAAAGAAAAAAGAGAAAGGAAGGAAAAGGGAAAAAAAAAAAAAGAGTAAGAGAAAGAAAGAAGTAAACAAAGGAAAAGCAAAAAGAAGAGAAAGAAAAAAGGAAGGAGAAAAAAGAAAAGGAAAAAAGAGAAGAGAAAAGAAAGGAAAAGGAAAAGAAAAAAGAAAACAGAAAAAGAAAAGAAAGGAAAAGATAAAAAAGAAAAAAGGAAAAGAAAAGAAAAAAGAGAAAAGGAGAAAAATAAACCCTGAAGAAACTGAGGACTCGGAATCTACAGCAGCCTCTTGATGACAAGGACTCAGCAATGAAAGGACAGAGCCAGAGACAAACCAGTTGCGGCCACTCCACCATCCCGCACTGTCCTGCGCCTCTCCCCAGTGCTCCTCCCTGCTGCTTGAGCAGAGGCTTCCCCAGTGTAGGAAGCTCTCCAAGTTGGTGATTTTCCAGTATGGGTTGCAGGCAGGTTGATTTTTTTTTTTTTGCGGGAGGGAGGGCAAGTAGCTAGTTTTTGTCTAAAGGGTCTCAAGAGAAAACCTTGTGGCTGCAGTGTCCCCCCTCCTTGCTGCAGTTCTCCAGAGTCTCCTCCCCACATCACTGGGACTCACTTGACTCTATTTGGTTTCCATCTCAAATGACCACCCCAGATTGAGGCAGATTCAACGCATTGGGAGGAGGCATGGGACTGCTGGCTTTGTGTCTGGAGATGAGCCGGGGAGGGAAACACAGCTCCTGCAATGACACACATACCCCTGCAAGAATATTTGTGGACTTTGAAATCATCCAAAAAGGAAAGATACCCTTCTGCATCCAGTTCCTTTTGAATGGGAGGTCAGAAATCTTTTTGGACAAGCAGGACTCTGACCATTGTCCATCCAGGTGTGGAAGCGCTTGTCTCCTGTGTGCATATGTGCAAATGTGTGTGCACAGATGTGGCTTTTCCTCCTTGCAAAACTTTGCCTTGAAACCTTCAATCTGGAGGGCTTCGCTCTAAGTAGGGGGAAAGATGCTGCCCCTCCCAAAGAATAATAAACCTGCTGGACTAAGCATGGGAGCAGGGTTACAGAGGAGCATCGGTGCCTGCGGGATCAGGGCCCCACCAACGCTGAGGGCTGCAGCTGAGCTGACCCTGCAGATACTCCATCGCTGTCCAGACTGAAGCATCCGTACATGAGGAGAGGGGAATCGGGGCCAAAACTCTTCACCACCCTTTGCTGCCATGAGGAAGACCAACTATGGAGATGTCTTTTTTAATTTTATTTTTTTTCCACAGCCAAAAAAGTGGTTTGCTCTGGGGAGGGGAAAAAACAAATCTACGTTTCGTTTTGCATCAGATTTTTGTTAAGGCTGGTTTATAGCCTTCCCCATGGATAGGAAAACGCTGGTCTCCATCCTTTCACATTGCGGATATGCTCATGTTGCCACAGCTGACTCCCACCACCCTGCAGTAAGATACTGCAACAGGCCTTCACCTTAAACATGGGGACCCCAATCCTTGAGTGACAGTAGCCACCACACCATGGAGACCCACTGCTTCAGGCATGCTGGCACAGCCCTCAGGTGCCTTCCTGACTTTATTTTTCATTTTTACATTCAGTTTCAGGACTCTTGGCTTTTGCTTCCCCACGACAAGGGTCTCTGCAATGTTGGCGCTGGGAGGAGATCCTGCAGCGAAGGAAGGAAACAAAAAGAAAGCAAGCCATGGTGTCTGGGTGCTGCGATCCCAGTGGGCAAATACACACCCACTGTGGACCACATCCCACTGCCATGGCTGGAGCTGCCAGCTGGCGCTGGCCATAGGACACAGCTGATTTCAGGAGGAAGGTTTCTGCACCCCAAAGCCACCTTCAGCATCCTGGACGTGCCCATAGCGGGTAGGAGGTCCACAGCACCACCAGGTCCCTGCCAGCAGGGATGGGATAAGGGGGATTCAGTGACAAGGGGGTCTGATGGAGACTCCTCTCCATCACCAGTCAGGCACCCTCATAGCCTCCCACAGCAGGGCATCACTCTCTGGAGCACCTTGCAGGCCCCCCACCAGGACACTTGCCCCAGTCGAGGGCAGGACTTGATGTCCCACAGTTATTTCACTTGGAGTTGGAGCGGGGGAAAGTTTGCCAGTGGACTTCAGTGGAGACCCAGTGAAGCACGTTTGGAGCTGGGGGTGAGGCATCTTCCCTTGCTGAAAAGAAGGAAGGGTGCCACCAAATCTGCCAGATCTGCCCCTCTCAGAAGAAACTGCTGGAGTGGGATGATCCTGTGTTGCTGGAGGGGGAACATCGCGGGTGCTGGGGCCAAGGGAGGGACCCCTCTGGGCTCTGCAGGGCTGATGGAGCAGTGTTGGTTTGACCAGGGTGGTGGGTTAATGGTGCAGTGAAGGTGGGATGAAGAATGTAGTGAAGACAGCAGGAGGATGGGGAGTTCATGCTAACCCCTAGGGCCACTGGTTGCAATCTTTGATGCTGTCCCCATCTCCTCTGCTCACCGATCCCTGTGCAAAACCTCTGTTATAGGCCAGTACCACCTTCCCCAGGACCTTTCCCTCCTTCTCGCTCTCTTGCTTTTTTGTTTGTTTGTTTGTTTTGTTGTTTTATTTCCCAAAACTTGAAAGCCTTTGGCTGCAGAGAAAGGAGATGTGCTGCCGGGGCAGGATGGGAGCTTTTGCAGGATGAGGGTCACCTCATGGGGCCCGGTGTGGTCTCATGATGTGGCCACCACAACGACACTGGGAGGGGCATGCAGGGTGTCCCCCTGACCTCTCCCTATAAAGCAAGTCTCAGCCATGGCCTGGGAGCTCAAAATCCATCCTGCACAGCCTCCCTCCCTGCTGCGCAACCATTGCTGGGACGGCACTGCCTATCCTGTCCCCACCAACCTGTGGGGAGGAGGATGCAAGGAGGGGGCTGCCCAAACCACCTTTGTACCCCCAAACCACCTTGGCTTCTGGGACAGGGCATGAAGCAAGCCCCCAGCTGCCCAGTCCCTAGAGGAACCCTGGCAGGACGAGGCTGTTTGCAGGCTGCACTAATATTTAGAACTGGGGTTGGAGCCTGGGTCAGGGGGGGGGCAAGAGCAGCTTCAGAAGGGGTGGCAATGCTGAGGTGCTGCCATTCTCAGCACCCAGCAGCACCCCTTTGCATTTAGGGTAAGAAAACCAAAAGAGGCAGATGTGGGAGCTGGGGAGGACAGGCAGAAGGGGGTGAGGTACATGGGGAGATGCTGGTGATTGGTGCATAAGGGAGAGGTAGGAGGCTTGGGGGTCTCCAGCCACGGTCTTTGCATCCAGCCTGCGCTGTTACCTGGGATGCAAGCTGGGAAGGAGAGGACAAGGATGGCACAGGGGTCAGGACAGCCCTTCTATCACATCTCCCCGGGGAGCAGCGCTCAGCAGCTGGGCTACCCCTTTTCTGTACTGCAGTGGACCTCGAAAACCACTAGTACAAGAGCATTTTGCACTATTTCTCTGCTCTCTTCCTCCTTCTCTTTTCCTCCCCCTTCCCCATGAAAACTCTTTTTTGCTGTTGGGTGTTTTTATTTTGTTTCTTCTTTTTTTTTTTTTAATTGTTGTTGATTTTAGGTTTTTTTTCCTAAATGGAGCATTGTATATTTAACAACCAACAGTTCACCTCGCTTCCAGACCGCTGTCCTGGCCGTGGCTAGGATCCCTGCCTACTATGCCCCCCTCTCCAGCCCCACCAGCCCCCCACCACTACCAATGGGACAGACGTCACTGCACACGTTACCCACCGTTGTAACACAGTTGTTAAAACACACCAGATTCCGAGTTTCCTGCCTGGTTTTTATCTTTAAGCAATACTCACTACACATTTTACGGTAGCTTTTTATAGCTTTACATACGTACGGTAGCTCTGTTGTTTTGTTTCGTTTTGTTTTTCTTGTTTTGGTTTGGTTTTTTTTTTCCAGTAAACAAGAAATACTCATAATCTTACTGGTGGGAAAAAAAAGAAAAAAGCAGTTTGTGAAAAACTGACAATGGAAGAAGAGCTTAATGCTCTGTTTAGCATTTTGTACTTAAAAAAAAATCTCACATTTTATTAAAAAGTGAAGATTGCTGTATACTATTTATTCAACTTATAATTTATGTTACTCTTTGATCTTTGTCTTTTCTCATGACAAAGCATTTATTTAATAAAGTTATGCATTCAGTTAGCTTGTGCCTGACCCTCCTGGAGCATCTGTGTGCTGGAGCCTGTTAGTGAGGGGCTCCGGCCCCGAGCATCCCCTGGCCCTGTGCCCCTGGGGGCTCAGCCAGCTCCATAGGGGTGTTAGGGGAGGTACAGGGCCTGGAGCAATGGTTTAGGAGTACTTTTGATACCAGAGCAGTGTGCTCACTGAGTAGTAAAACTGCAAGTTTGTTTAGAACATGCGTAAGCAGAGCTGCCCAATTCTTGTTTAGAAATATCTTTGCATGGGTATGACAGTGGGGCACAGCACCACATTCAGATGATTTATGGGGGAGAGGGATGCTAAGGCCCTAGATGCTTGCCCAAACTGAGTCCTACAGTTGGGGATTGGACATAATGTTTGAGCCTCAGACCTCTGGGCAGCTGAAACACTTACCACAGTGTCCTGGAGCATCCCTGTGCCATCCATGGGGCACCCCAGCCCAGCCAGGACATGGTCCTCAGACGCCTTGTGGTAGCCCTTGGTGGCCCTGTCCACTGCCCCATGTCCTCCCCAGTGCTGGGTCTGACCCCTGCTTGTGCTCATATAGCCATCACTCTTCATTCTCACATTCAACCCCTCATCTCCCTCTTCTTGTGCCTCCCATCCTCTCCACTCACCTAGCTGCTAGCATCACCCCGTGTGCTCAGGACAGGGTGGGAGGCAAAATCTTCCCTGTTGTCCCCCACTGGGGACCATGGGTTGCCAGGGATATGCCAACATGTATCCTCCATCCTATTTGCACCACCCGGGGATGGCACAGCCACCCACTCCCTTTTCTCCCCACAGCACAGCTGGGGCCAAACGTGCTGCCCCCCGCGACCGAGGCAGGGGTGTCCGCACCCCGCTGCACCCCCATGCCACCCCGCAAGGCTGGATCCGCTCCCCCGGGCGCCCTACAGTGTGGGAGCCGCACGGCACCGCAGCGGCACCAGGCGGCGCTGGGCAGCGAGGCGCTGCTGTTACTTTCAGCCACACAGGCGCTGGAAATGGGCTTTCCACCCAAAAAGTTAATGCTTTTCTCCCCCGCCTTCAGCTAGCGGGCTAGTAAATTATACTCCTACCCACAAGCCATCACTATCTACATGGATATAGATATAGATAGCTATAGCTGTACATAGATAGTCACACAGTCTTACACTAATTCTTTATATTATAGTAAATATTACTGTTTGTATTGTACTACTGCATAATTTTTATGCTCTACTAAAATTGTAGTTCAACAGTGTATGTAGTTTTGAGTGTGTACACCAGAGGTGCTGAGGTTTCGGCTAGTACCCTACGTGCAGCTGGCTAAGCCCCAGTGCCCAACCACATGCCCAATTACCCAGAGCCCAGGAGGCACAAAGCTGGCCCAGATGAAACCCCAGAGCCAGGGCCTAAGCAATGACACCCATCAAACCCATGCACACACACATGCAGCCTTTAATGCCACGTCACAAACCTGGGGAAGCCTAATCAGAAGCTCTTTGCACCTCCTGCCTTACTGCTGCCTCTCTGCCCCTCTACAAGGTGCCCAGCCAGCCGAAGGCTCCTGTTCCCCTCCAGCTCTTGAACCAGTGGGTGCCCCCGGTACTTGGGTACTTCTGACCCCTCCCCCCCCGAGCCCTCCCAGGGCAGCACCTGGTTTGGAGCACCCTTGTACCCCACAGTGCTACTTGGCATCCCCTGAGCCACCTTCAGCTCCCCCCAGGGGCACAAAAGAGGAAGGTATTAAATGTTAATTTTGCTCCTTCTCCCATGTTCTCCTGCTTACATCCCACCCCCTATCCTGCCTGTCCTATGTCCCTCCTTGCAGCCCCATGCATTGACTGCTTCCTGTCCCCATACATGCTCCTGGGGCTCCCTGCCACTGCCCAGCCCCTCAGCACGCGTCAGTCCCTCTCAGCGTCCTCACACGGGATAGGAGAAAACAGATGGGAAAGCAGCCTAGTGGTTTTCCCTTCCTTTGGGGAGGCCAAAGGGAAACCACAGACACCTGGATGTTGACTGTCAGAGCCACATGGGACCTCTCCTCCAATGCTGCAATTTTAATCGAATGCAGCATGGGCTTTTTTTCTATTATTATTGTTATTCTCTGCCTCCCAGTGGTGCCCCAAGCACTGAGCTGTGCTGTGATGCTCCCTCTGGCAGCACCTCTCACCCTGGGGGAAGGTTCAGGACCCTCAACAGACCTGTCTCCACAGTCCCATGAGTGGAACAGCTCAGCCAAGGCCTGGTCCCACATGCAGCCCAGGCCTTCCTGCACCTTCCCAGCAGCCCACGTTGGGAAAAGGCTTCACACAGAAAAACTAAGGCTGGCTCTTCAGCAAGCTCAGATTTTGCCCTCCTTGCACAAGCAAAGGGCCAGAGCCCTCAGAGGGCTTCTCCCTGCATCATCCCACTCAGCCAAGGAACTCTTTGCATAGGGGGCAGTGGAGACCAAAACCATAGCAAGACACTTAAAGGAACCTGGATGATTCATGGAGAACAGGTGCATCTGCCAGCTAACAAACAGCATGGCCAACTCAAGAAGACCCTGGGGTACCAAGGCTGGGAAGATGGAAAGAGCAGAGCACCCTTATCCTTATACCCTTTGCCCAAGCATCTGCAAAGGTCTCCACGGTCCCTGTGCTGGGTAGGAGGGCCCTTCCCTTGCAAAGCTGCTCCCCTGCTCAAGAAGCAGGAAGCTACTGGTCTCACACAGCCTCTCTCAGCTCAGGAAGCTCCACAAGCATCACCTGGGACGGTGCATGCACACTGCCATCCTCTCCACCCAGCGAAGCAGGACACAGCCACCCTTTTCCACCAAATCTAGCTGCTGTCAGTGGGGAAGATGGTCTTCACACATATGCTGGCCAGATGTTGACTTGAGGGCACGGTTGCATTTTGCAGGCTCAGAAGATACGGCATGTGGAGCAGGAACATAGCAGACAAGCCAACAAGTGACACCAGTTCCTCCCTGCTGGTACAACTGGGACCAGTAACGATGAAAGGCCCAACTCCCATTGCTGCTTGTCAGGCCCAGTGTTTACAAACCCCCCCCGGACAGGCCCGTATTTGCGTGTGATGCATCAGGCGAGGAAACTTTTCCTATGAGCAGAAGGGAGTGGGGAGGGGGAAGATGACAGTTTTCTGGCATCCCATTTAATTTATTCCAACTTTATGCAGCTCAGCTTTTCCAAAAGAGAAAAAAAAAAAAAAAAAAAAAAAAAAAAGCCACAAAAGAAAACTTCCTGGTTCCTAAACAAAACAAAAAGTACAAACTGCAGATGAGAGCCAGCGTGTGCAAGGTTTACATGAACAAGCAGAAGAACACCCTCAGCTGTTAACAGAAAGCAGGTAGCATCACTTTTACAGTTACCTGGCTTTGCATGGAGGTGTGGTTTGTTTCTCTCTTGCTCCCTCTCATACACATCCTCATGTGCACCTCCACACCACTGACTTTCCAGAGTGGTTCCCTTCCCTGTCTCCTCTTCTGCCACATCCAAAGCCCTGGAAAAGTTGCGAGGGGCTTAATTTGCAGAGACTGCCTGTGCCCTTCACACTTAGCATCTTGAATATGGTGCCAAAGGAGGGAGAAAGCAACAAACCCCAGCCCTCTCCTTCCTCCAGAGCCTGTTGGGCTTCTTGCTTTTCCTTCTCCAGACCAAATGGTCCAGATGAGGGGGTATCAACCGTGGGAACCCTCATGAGGTGTTTCTCTAGCATGGTTTGGTGTTTCTGGGGTATGCTGGCAGTCATCAGGGGATGGTCCCATCCCTGCAGGTCATGGTCAAGTAGATTTGGTGCCTGACCCCCACCATGCAGGCACAGGGTGCTCCCCATCAGCACCCACACTTACCAAGGAACCCCCTTCCTCCACCCTAATTCAGCCTAAATCCCACAATGGGCTTGGGACATGGAAGCTATTTGCTACTCGGAAGCATTAGCCAGAAACTAGGAGATGCTTTATTCTTCACCCTGCCCCCAGCCTTGATTTCACTTGGGGAAAGCCCAAGACTTTTACTGTAAGGATTTTTACAATTGCTTTGTAAATAGTATCCATACTAAGGAGGAAGGAGAAAAAAAGGTAGAAAACAGTAAAATCTCCTTGCTTAGGCAACAGGGAATTATTTATTCTCAGTGTCTGTGTGTTCTGTACAGGAAGAAATCAACAGGTGAAATAACAGCAGAGACATCTCTCCTTGGAGCGGCATGTCCAGCGCAAAACCTCTCAGAGCACTTGGATTGCTTGGATTTAATCTACTCAAATGTGTGTGGGGGCAGAGGGGTGCATGTCTGTCAGGGCCTTCACAAAGCACAATACATACTGTAATTTACTTACCAAAAAAAAAAAAAAAAAAAAAAAAAAAAAAAAAAAGAAAAAAGATAAAGTGTGTGCTGAATAGCAGATGCTCACTCCAGTCCCAAGCGAAAATGGAGGGACAAGGGCAGCTGCTTGGGAGTGCAGGTTTTAGATGGGTTTTTTCCTATCTAGAAAGAAAGAATGAATAAGAGAGAAAGAGACAGACAGACAGAGACACTCCCTGGCTTGTTATCCTACATCTACACAGGCATCCTTCCACCCAGCCCCAGCAAGTTCACTTCAGCTTCTTCAGCATAAGCTGATTCTAAGAAATACTCAGCAGTAGCCCTTCAAATCCCCTGGAAAACCAAGTGTTTAGCTTCACCGTCACCCAAGAGGGTATCTCATCCCAAACCTGGGGCTGGTTGTGCCCCAGCACCAGGAAGGGAAGCACCCAGGGATGCTTTGGGTGGCAGAGGGAGCTGTCTCATCTTTAGCCCTTCCCCTCACTGATACCTCCTTGGGGGATGCATCCTGACTGTGCCAGCATGTTCCAGCTGCAAAGCCAGGGGCTTTCCTTCTTCCCTCCCTCCCACACTGCATCCCATGCCACAACCAATGGTCAGGCTCGGGCACAGGGTACCAGCAGGATGCAAGAGGCAGGCCACACAGTATTTACAGTCTTTGGTCTTGGGGAAGGGAGGGAAAGAAGGGGAAGGGTGGGTTTTTTCCTTTTTTTTTTTTGTTTTGTCCCACTCCCACCCATGACAAAAGGTTTTGTCCCCTGGGAAGTGTCAGGGAGTGCACAACATTCTGTGCTGAAGGGTGCAGGAAGATGCCGCAAAGCAGCAGGGATGGCAGGGCCACAGGGCGAGGAGCAAAAAAGACCGATTCTCTGGCTTACATTGGGTGAAAGACTATAGGAAAGCAGTCCCTTCTCCTTGCAACCCCCCCACCGCCCTTCCCCTCCCGTTAACCCTCCCCAGGAGCCAGGCAGCAGGGGAAGGAGGGCAGCACGCAGGACCCAACCCCAGTCTCTTCCAGAGCCTAAAGAGACATGCTGAAACCCATGTAAAATCCAGCACTGGGGCCACAGCGAGCCGCCTCCAGCAAGCAGGATCACATCTGTCTACTGGCTCCGCAGGGCATGTGCTCCCCGGTCCTCCTGCTCATGGGCTGTGTAGAAGAGGTGGCACTCAGGGTCCCCGCGGATGGTGGGTGCGCCCTGGATCACCTTCCCATGGATGGGGTCCACACACCAGCACTCGCCACGCTGCCCGTTCACTGACATCTTGCACTGCATGGAGAGGGACAGGGCAGGCATCAGAGGAGGAAATAGGGGGACAAAACAACCAACCCCCAGGCCCACCAGCCCAAAGCATTAACACAGGCAGAGCTGGGGTTTCTCCAGCCATTTGGCACTACTTTGGATTTTTAGGAAAGAGTCATGGATGCTGCACTCGAGACACCCCAGGGTCTGTGCTGCACCAACAGTCCAAGCTGACGGCTGGACCTCTTCACCCAGGGTGCCAGGGACCAAGAAGTCAATTTTCATGAACCACAAGGACAACTATCCCCAAGATGCACCACACTCTGTCAAGTGTGGATAAAATCATCCATAGAGTCAAAAATTCCTGGGGGAAGAGGGATGAGACAGACTGGCAGATGAGCTATGAAAGCTGCTTCTCACCTGCAAATTGGGCTAAACAAACTGGAACATGAGAGCAAGGCCCCCACAGCCAGATAAAAACAGGTTTCCAAACAGGCTTTTATGCTGTCACAGAACAGAGGTAGGGACCATGGTGCATCTGGACCTCGATTCTGCCCAACATGCAGCCTGGTTAGAGAAAAATTTCTTGCCCTAATGGCAACGGATCATCCATCTCTTGCCCTGGAAGGGTTGCAGGTGCTTTGAACCCAATGCTCATCTCTGCATCCCCAGCAGATACATTTCTGAATAGGGCGTAGTGGGAGACACAGAGGTTACTCCAGCAGACTAGCCTCTGTGTGCACTCTAAAGCTAAGTTCAAGCCCTTTTCTGCAGCTGGATTGAAGTCAAAAATGCCGCCTTTGTTCATGGGAATAAAAATCACAAAAAGAGAGAAGGAAAAAGCCTCCCCAGCAGGAGAGTGCATCCAGGCACTCTCCACCCGAGTACAGGCCCACAGGAGGTGGGAGCAACTGGGAATGCTTTTGTTGGCATCCGCTTTCCAGCAAATGAAAAGGAGCTGATGCTCAGCTCTGGAAACCCAGAAAGAGGGAAATAGGTATCACTTCACATTTGCCTTGTTTGCCCTTAACCAGGGGGGAAGAAGAGAAAGCAAATTTTGTCCCCTTTCTTTTTCTGCAGCTGTGACCAGTGTGTCAGCACAGGCTGACTTGCTTCCCAGGCACAAGGAGCAGCAAAGACTGGCTTTTCTTTTGTAGCACTTGATGCTTCGCTGTATTGCCCAGGCTCATTCCCCAGACACGGCTCATCTCCTTAACAAGGAATTTGTCAGCTTTCCTCCATCCACTCCTTCCATGTGTGCTCATGCTGGGGAATCCAGCCAGCCCATGGCACTTTTCACGGGGAGGTAGAATGTAAAGGGCCAGGCAAGACAAGGAAGAGAGAGGGTACAAAGAGAGATAACTCCGAACATCTTACTTTTTTAATGCCTTTTTTCAATGCTCCTGATCAAGGGGTAGAAGTAGCCCTGAGAAAAAAGGCTTAACCATGAAACAGGTTTCCTGGAGTGCCCTCCAAAGGCTGAGTTACACATAGCTATAAAGGGTGCTCATATCCATGTGCTAATCACACATGGCTGCCAGTCAACCCTGGACAAGCTGGCTGTTTTGCTACCCAAGACATATTTCCTGGCATTTTTTTTCCCCTCATGCCTCAGCTGCTGACACCTGCTGATTTTACATTAATAAAGCCAAGAAGTCAGAATTCAGACACACATTAAGTCATTTGAGTCCTGTTGGGTCCCATAAATATTTTCAGAAGCATGCTGTACCCTAACCCACATCTCTCCTGGAAGGAATCCCTCCTGGAGCTGTGGGACCAGTCTCGATTTGTAGAGGAAAACCAGTAAAGTGCACTAGAAACATTCCTGACCCCAGGAGAAAGTGTTTTCTGCTTTGTCTGTAAGACTGGCCAGCATTCAGCCCCTCTATGCTTTCCTTCTGTAGCAGGGCCCAGACAGGCCAAGACCTGTCTCAAAACACATGAAAATAGTCCTGGACAGATAAGCAGCTCTTGTGGGGAAGAAGGATCTCTGAACTACATAGATTCTCCATCTCTGGTCTACTCGCAGCCATGTGTAGACATGGGTCTCACGCCTTCACTTGCTAGCCCATGGCTGCAGGTGCACCTGGGTGTTGCCAAACCTGTCCATGCCACGTGTGATATTTGCCGTTTACCTCACACCACATGTGTGACATCAGCCCAGGCCCAAGTTTGTCATCTGTGGCTGCACATGGTAGGCATGCATCATGAGCTGAGGGCTGCTGCCAGGAGTGCAGCCAGCCGCGGGACTCCAGCTCTTCCCACTTACCTGTTTAAGATTGTACAAGCCATGCTTGTCACAGTTGGGGATGTGGAGGGAGTAGAGGTGCTCCAGGGGACCTCGCTCATCTGGCAGCCGCATAGTGGAGATGCGTTCAAGGACCTGATCCAGCTCCTGCTGACAACGGGTCTGAAAAGAACACGGAAAGAACAAAACAAAACAAAAATCAGGACAATGGGACTATTCGGTGTCAATGCTTTGGACAATGGAAACACCAGCAGGGATGAACACTTACATGCACCTCCTCATGACACAGGTTTGCCAGTGGGTCACGCTGCAGATTTCACCTGCAGGCACCCAAAATCAGAGTGCTGCATGCCCACACATGCCACTAAGTGGAGATCCACACACGGAGATATGCTTGTCTCTCCTTCATGCCTTATGTGGCCAAGAGTCAACATGGATCCAGGTTACAGGCCCTCGAGGAGGATACTCCCATGGATCCCACTAGTGATAAGTAATGCAAAGCAGGACTAGTAACAGACAGACCAGGAGTGTTTCCATGAGCATTCCACACCCATCATGTGGTTTTGGCTCAGCAGCACTGTCCTGGGTTCAGCTATAGCAGTCATTTTTTCTCCTTCTTAGTAGCTGGTGCAGTGCTGTGGTTTTGACTTTCAGCCTGGGAACAACACTGATAACACCGATGTTCTTAGTTGTTGCTAAGTAATGTTTACTCTGACCAAGGACTTTCTCAGTCTCCTGCTCTGCCAGGGAGGAGGGGAAGCCGGGAGGAAGCAGAGACAGGACACCTGACCCAAACTGGCCAAAGGGCTATTCCATACCACAGCACGTTAAGCCTAGTATATAAACTGGGGGGAGTTACCTGGAAGGCCCAGATCGCTGCTCGGGTCGGGCTGGGTATCGGTCGGCGGGTGGTGAGCGGTTGTGTCCTTTTCCCTTGTTATTCCTCTTATCATTATTATTGGTAGCAGTAGTGGTTTGTATTATACCTTAGTTACTGGACTGCTCTTATCTCAACCCATGGGAGTTACATTCCTCCAATTCTCCTCCACATCCCTTTGGGAGCGGGGGGAGGAAGAAGAGAGGTGGGGAGT